GTAGATGCATGGTAAAAGCATCATCTGCACATTGTCGTTCAAGTCACACAGCATCCTGATTTGGAATTATATTGCTATTCCTTCACTGATTTTTGATCAGAATTCTGTAACTCCTTCCATAACAACATGATAGGTTTCCCTACACCACATGTACTGCATCAGTTAAATAACTGCTCACCATCACTTTCTTCAGGGCAATTCAGATGGGTAATAATTGCTATTCTAGCCAGTGACACCCACACTCCGTGATTAAATTTTTAACAAAGTGCATTTCAAGGATTGCTCTGCATTGTTGGCAGAAGAACAGTGTTCTTGGCTTACTGTGGCCATTATCTGTGCCTCAATCGGTGTTACCAGAATACTGATTACATGGATATTCAGGTCATTCATTGTGTGAATTGTTTACCCTAAAGTGCTCCATAAATTGCACTGATTTAAAATGGGTAATGTGAAATTCTGGTCGCTCTGCTATAGGAAGGGTGTTTAATGTGGGTAATTGTGAACAGTCTAACAATGCAAGTCAACACGAGTGACATAGGAAAGGATGAAGAATTTAGCAGTAATAGTGCATCAGCGAGTATTGTCCGTGCAGGGAATAATAAAAGAAACTAAATTAGGGACTCTTCATCTGAATGTACAAAGTGTTCACAGTAAGATGGGCGAACATTTGGCACAAAAATAAAGCTAACTGTTTAGATCTAATCACCATTCCAGAGATGTGTTTACGTAGTGAACAAAGTTGAAAAGCAAATGTTCCAGGATACAAATTAGTTTGCCTTCCTCTCAGCCATTGCAAAGGAGGAAGATAGATTTGATAGTAAAAAGATGACAGTGTAAATGAATAAAGGATCTTGGCTCAGAAGATCATGAAGTGCAATCTGCAAGTGGAGATTAGCAATAGCAAGAATCAGGGGTTGCTCATTGAAGTAGTATTTAGGCCTCCTAACAATGGTTATGTTGATACATACAGTATGAATCAAATTATTTTAAAAATTTGAGTGTTGAATATTCTTGTAGACTGGATCAGTAAAAGTGGCAAAGATGGTCTGGAAGTTGAGTTTGTAGACAGTTTCCTGAAGTAATGTGTGGAACTAAATGGGGGTAAAGCCAGTTTAGATCTAATATTGTGTAGAATCCATAGAATCCCTACAGTATGGAAGCAGACCATTCATCCCATCAAGTCTACACCAACCCTCCAAAGAGCATCCCACCCCATACACTATATGGGCAATTTAGCATGGCCAATTCACCTAGCCTGCACATCTTTGGGCTATGGGAGGAAACCGACGCAGACACAGGAAGAAGGTGCAAACTCTACGCAAGCAGTCGCCCAAGGCTGGAATTGAATCTGGGTCCCTGGCACTGAGGCAGCAGTGCTAACCACTGAGCCACCATGGCACCCGTGTAATGAGACCGGGTTAATTTGTAATGTCTTAGCAAAAGATAAAGTGGGAATTAATAATCATAACGCAGTTGAATTCAATGTTAAGTTTACACGTGCAGCACTCCAATCAGAAACTGGAATCTTAAACGTGAGGGAAGAATTGACTAAGGTTATTCGAGTAAATTGGATAAAATGGAATGGTGGTAAATAAACAGCGGGTAACATTTAAAGATACAATTTAAGATGTTCGACATGATATGATCCGTTGAAAAACAAAATCTCAGCAAGACGTGGCAACCATGTTTAACCAATTCATAGGAATGCTCTGAAGAAATAACATACTGTACTTGGACTTCCAAAAGACATTAGATAAGATGCCACAGCAAGGGTTATTGTGGAAAATGAAAGCTCAAGGTATGGTGTAACATACTAGCATTGTTGGAAAATTAGCTGGCAGAACAGTATATGTACATAAATAGACATTTCTATGATTGGCAGGATGTGGAGAACAGAATCCTGCATGGGTCTGTGCTACAGTCTCAACTTACCAATTGTGTCATAACTTGGATGAGGGGATTGAGGGTAGGGTAGCTAAATTTGCAGATGATCCTAAGGAAAGTATGTTGTGAATGTTGCAGACAGACTGAGTGAAAGGGCAGAATTCTGACAGTATAATGTGGAAAAATGTGACTTTGCCTTTTGATTCTTCCCCTCAAAGCGATCAGAGTATTACTTAAATACGGAATAATTGTGGAATTCCAAGGCTCAGAGGATCTGTGTGTTCTAGACTGAGTCACAACATGTTAGTTTGCAGGTATAGCATGTAGTCAAAAAAGCTAATAGATGCTGTCCTTTATTACAAGAGGAATTGGTAGGATGTTATGATTCAGCTATACAAAGCATTAGTGAGGGCACTTCTCGAATACTGTGCGGTTCTAGTCTAATTATTTTAAAGGTCTTGAGCCATTTTTCTACACTAAGCATGCTACTTAAATAAAAGTTATTGTTAACAGCTTAAACCCATGGGATTTTGGTTTTGAGAACATGAACAGTGAGTTCATGTTTATATTATCAAAAGTTCTCTACAATTTCCTGCTGCTCTGGGATCCACCACGTTCTGCTGCATCTGTAATGATGCTTCCCCGATAGGTGTATCTAAGCTGTCACTTTGGTAAAGCAGGATGCCTTGGCAGAATGGATGCTCAGGGGTAGGAAAGGTTGTCAGAAGGCATTGAGCTGTTCAAATGCTCATTTCTCTATGTTTTCACCACATTTTTGAGAGAAGTAGTTTGTGCCACTATTCCTGAATACCATGTATCCCTGAACCTTAATTGAGAGGCACTGTTATTCATTCTAAAGATGATAGTAATTCTTAGTGAAACCTTGCCCTCACCCTGAGGGTATGTAATTGTAAAAGTTTCATTCACCTAGGTATGAAGAGAATTCTGTAAGGAACTGTTAAACTAGTCCAGCATCTACTTTTCTTGTTTTAGGGCTTAGCAAATAGACAAGCACAGAAGTGAAGTTATTTTTAGAAATGACTAGTCCTACCTCAACTTTACATAGGGCTGCCTGGCCCAATTTGTGCAGTTCTTAATCTGGAATCGTGTGGCAGAATGTTGGCCAGATCAATAATACCTGACACGGTTCCTAGTTGCTGCAGTAGTGATGTCTGTCAGTATATCAATTTACACCTCGCCTTGTGTAGTTTGAGAGCCCTCTGTGCCAGGCCAACCCAGTAATTAACTTTTTAGGCTCCTGAAATATTCGTCTGTGTGAATGGACATTGCAAGACTGCAAGGTGCTGTAGCCATTACTTTAGGATTGAATTTGATATTCACAGTATTAGCTGTTTTTTATACAATTTGAGCCCTAGTTAGTTTTATTGTAGAACATATGATGAAAAATCACATGGCAGTAGGATTTTAATGTGTGCTGATAGTGATGTCCTTACGTTGCGCAGTGATGTCATCAGATGGCTTGGTACATGGATGGAGAGATGACCGAAGCCAAAATTGAATCAGACCAAACCCTATAGCAAAGAGAGAGCCTTGTACTTTTTGCCTTATTTAAAGGCAAGTATGTGGTGCTGTGTTCCAAATGTAATTCAACTGGTCACACTACATGGTTTTAAGCAAAACGTACTTTATCTGCAGTTAAAATGCAAATAAAAGAAAGAAGAATTGGTGTAACTTTAACTCTAACTCTATTGGAAAATGTAACGGAATAATAGATTATTTAGCTACTAAACAGCAACTGTTCCAATATAGTAACATGCCATAAAACATGCCCTTGGCAAAGGCAATGTCAGTAAAACAGATTGTTTCAAGTGTGACTTTGGTAGCAGAAGGAGAACCCAAGTTTTTAGCTGTAACAGAGACGTGTAATAGGTTCCACAACCAACTTCAAAACCCCAGCAACAGCTGAAAGCTAAACTAAAACCCTGGCTCCACCCATTCATGCTGCTTCTATTGTTCTAACTTTAAAAGAAACTCTGAAGCTGTCTACTTTATTGGCTTCAACTAGACAGCTCGCCACCAATGACTCAACCTCCCTTCCAAAAAAGGACAAAATACACCTAGAAGGCATAGTATTGTCACACTGTTATCTCTAATCACCCTGCTAAATGAAACACTGGGAGAGCACTGTGACAGCTGATGGGTCATTTATGTTTGCTATCCGGTTGATTGGATTGGAAGTTGCTACCATTATCTGGAGAAAGAGGTTGATCTGTCTTTGCAACTTGATAAACCTTACCCTTTCAGTCTCTGCTCCATTTAGTCTTCATGCTCAGCTGGTCGTTTCTGTTCTTAGCCCTGCCTGCTCTCCCATATGCCATCTGCATTCTATCTATTCCCACTCCTTTTTGTGTACTGTCTACCATGTTCGGGCCCCTTTTGGCCAATTTTTGAGTAAATGGCTATGAGAAAGGCCCAATGCTCTGTATGCATGAGAAGAATAGGTGCTTTTTCAGGCATGATGACAAAAATCTTGCAAACTGGAAGTTCTGTTTGGAGGTCGATATTTATTCCTGATTTTCCGAATCACTTAATGTGCTGAGCTTTGTATGAATGGCAGCTTCCCTGATATGTTAATGGGTCCTATTCCTTTTTGCTCTGTACCTCTACCCTAATTTTTCACAGGGGTGTGGATTCTGCATTGCTGTTCTCTTGTGCTGTGCTTCAGGTTGAAATAAGGTTATGCTAACCATTACAATTATTAATAAAAACTCCGCTAACTGCTGAACAATGAGATATATTGAGATTGTTTAAAAAAACAAGGAAAACTATACCTTGATCTTAAAATATGAGCGGGAGAGAGACAGTGAAATTAATGAGTTTACTGTTGACTTTATGACTTTGTTTCTAGAAGAAAGATATTTCTGTTTATATGCACAAAGTACTTCTGTTGTTGAATCTTCACTTTGTTTGTTTGTTTTTCAATGGGCATTGCTCTTTATTTGCATGAGGAGAAATTCTTATGCTGAATTTAGTAAGGAGGCAAATTGATATGGCGCGCTGGAGTCCATTCTCATTTTCAACTCCAATCTATCCATTGCCTATAAATTATGATTTGGAAACTAATTGACACTTTATTTCCACACCTTTCTCTGCAGGGTAAAACAGATGACCGATCTGGACGAATCCATTGGCATCTAACTGTGTTTTCATTGAAGTTAAGACAGTAAAAGAAGCTGGTCTTAACAGCCAGCAGCAGATGTTGCCTGCTGATCATTCGTAAAGATTCATGGCGTGTTTCTACTTCGCTTTGGTTCCGGATAGACCTGCACAGTAAGAACATTTTTCAATAATGTTACTGTCTAAAAATTGTTTATCTGGTTAGTTGTGAATTAATCTGGCAGTAGAATTCTCCCAAAGAAAACTGAATAGTTTGGCATTGTATTTTTTTAACATTTTCGCTAATAGGCATTGGTGTTTGAAGGCTTAATAAACTGAAGGATGTAAGCGTTGTTCCAGGCTACCAGTTAAAAATGAGAAAATGTAATGCCACTCGCTTGTTCCCCATAACCTTTATTATTCCTTCTTCCAATCCTTAAATCCTTTAGAAAATAATTTGACTCTGCCATAAATCATTACCAAAGCGTAGTTTTTCTCATTTTTTAAACCGTGTATGAAGAATGTTCTCTACTCTCGCCATTCAGTTTTTGCAACTATTTTAAGTGTTTTGCACTTTGGTTAACTGTCTTCTAAATCTCTGGAAACAAATCTAATCATTGTTTACATTATCGTAACCTTCATTCTGAAAACCCTTTATTTGTTAATCAGGTAGTTGAAATTGCTCACTTTCTCCAGATAATCTTTATATCTACATTCTGATCCTCTGCCCTAGCCTCAACTTAACAGTATGTAAGTGGAGTCTTTTGATCTGCTGATTTTCAGATCTGTCTTCCAGTGTGTTCCTCCAATTCTCTGGCTACTTGATCATGTTCTCATCATCCCTGTTGCATAGCTCATTGTTATCTCTAAATGTCATTAAACATAGCACTTTACTTTGCTTCACTTAAATGCCATAAAGGTCAGGAAAAGGGGTTCAGTTTTCATCTTTAGTGCAATCCAACTTTGACTTTGAAACTCCCACTGTCTCCCACACACTGTTTTATTTTAGAGTAAGAAGCAAAGAATTGCGTGTGCTGGAAGTATGAAACACAAACTCAAAGGACTGGAGAAACACAGACCTGGCAGCATCGCGAGAGAGAGAACCAAAGTTAATGTTTCGCGCCCAGTGACTCTCTGTCACTGGACTTGAAACATTAACTCTTTCTCTCTCTGCAGATGCTGGCAGATCTGCTGAGTTTCTCCAACACATTGTTTTTGTTCCTGTGTCTTAATCTTGTATGGCACTCTTTTTTTTTTTGTTTTAAATGCTGTGCAATAGTTATCTGTAACTCGCAGAAACTCCATGGAATCTACAAAATCTCCACACTTCCACCCTAAGCATTCAGACCGTGAACCTCCTCGAGATTTGTCTCACTTTAATTACACTCCCCTGAACTTCATCTTGATGTTAAGTATCTAATTTTGGTATGTTATTTACAAAGAGTTTTGCAAATACATATAAAGCATACTTAGTGCATTTCCATCATCTTGACGTTTCATGTTGGCAAATTCAACTAACTTGTAGAAACTTCAGATGTAGAATCATGCAGTACAGGAGAGGCCCTTTGGCCTATCAAGACCAGTCTGTCTATATCCTCCTGTAACCTTCTAACTCTCTCATGTTCCTACTTCAACTGATCTTCCAAATGAATATTTTTCTGGAAAACTGAATAGCTATAAGTACTGTTCTGAAAAAGGCTGTATTAATACAAACTGTTTCAAGTTGAATTATGTGCATACTGTACTATTACTTTGTCTGTATTTTTGCTGTTGTGATTATGTTGTCTTAAATATAAACAGTATTTGTACAAAAATATTTTTGTTTTAAATAAATGAAGTGCCATTTATTATCCATTCATAGTTGACCCTGAAAGCATGAGCCATCTTGTACCATTGCAGTCCATATAACCAAGGTACTATCAGTATTGGATAAGGAACTCTAGAATTTAATGCAGTGACTAAAGCAGCAGCAATAAATGGCCATGTTAGGATGCTTGCAGGGGCATTTAGAAGTGCTGCTTTTCCCATGTAACCACTGCCCTTCCCCTTATACATGGGGAAGCAGTTGGTTAGCAAGATGCTGATGTGCTCTCAATACAGAATCTCTAACCACTTTGTAGTCATGGCGTTTATGCAGCTAGGATAGTTGAGTTTCTGATTACTGATGATCCTCCGAATGTTGATGGGGAAATCACTGGTAATGTCCAGGGAAGATGGTTAGATTCAAACTAATTGGAAATAGACATTGCCTGGTACTTGTCTGAATTTGTGCATTTTTATATAAGGACTTTCGCAACCTTGGAACGTTACAAAAGGTGCTGTAGTGCAGGGAACATCTTGCACAGCAAGCTCCCACAAGCAGCAATGTAGTAATGACTGATGGTGTGTTTCTGTGACATTGATTGATGGATAAATATTGGTGAGGCCACTGGGGGGGATCTCTCCTACCCTTGTTTGTAATAGGAAAGAGGAATCTTCTATGTTCAACTTCCTGGTTGAATGTCTTGTATGCAAGAAGTCACCTCAGACAATGCAGCTTTCCTGTAGTATTTCACTGAAGTGTTAACATCAATTTTTGTGCTCAAGTTTGTGGATTGGGAGTTGAACCTACAACCTTTGAATTCAGAGGCGATAGTGTTATTTGTTAGTTTAATAGTGTTTGATAGTGTTGTTTGTTGAGCCATGGCTAATATAAATATGTGGTGCAAACTTGTCACTGATCAGCCCAATGTCTGTTTGCCCACGTGAAATGTAATATTGACGTTGATTGTCTTCTTATTCTTAGAAATTGTGAACAGACCTGAATTTTCACAGTTCCAAAGAAGGGTCACTGGACCCGAAACATTAATTCTGCTTTCTTTGCACAGATGCTGCCAGCCCTCGAGTTTTTCCAGCAATTTCTGTTTTTGTTTGATTTCCAGCATCCACAGTTTTGTGTTTAGTAGATCTGAATGTTGTGCGATCGTTAGGGAATAACCACACCTCTAATCTTGTTCTGGAGCGAAGGAACTGCGAAGAATTTGGAGTTGGTGGGTTCTTGGACACTGCCTTGAGGAACCCATTGTTAGATACCTTGTTGATTTCTCATTATTTTACTTTATTTTGCATAATTTTGAATTATGAGCTGGAAATGACTGGACTTTGAGACAGTTTAGGTTAAAAAGAGAACAGACCAGGCTAGCACTGTTTGTTTGTGAGGCGGGCCTGGAGGCTAATTACAGGCTGAGCCATGATTAAAAGGATCTAACATTCACAGCACCCCCTGGGAAAAGCATTGTGTTTAAACAGAGCAGAAGTTGATTATTAACAAGGCCAGTACCTGGAAGGCGGTTCCAACAAGTCCAAAGGAGGCCCCATATACGAGCAGATGGCATTTGTTGAATGGTGACAAAGGCCTTGCTAACAGTTGATCAGTCTGTTAGGATGGGACCAGAATTAAAATTTTTTTTAAAACTATCTTCTGAGAGAGATGATTCTGGAATGCTGCAGAGACAGCATGAAGGTTTGAAAGCTCCCTACCTAATCTGATACACCAGGTTCCAGAGGCCCAAAGAGAGGAAAGCTGAGTTGAAAGTATTACTGCCTTTGCCTGGATGAACTGAGAAGGTGACCCTCTGAACGTTTCAAGAAAAATAGCCAATGAGTCCACACATGAAGCCTGTGTCAATGCATTGTGAAGAACGTTTTATTAATCTATTAATCTTTATTAATCTTTAGTTATTTTCTTTATCCCTTAACTTATATTTGCTGTTTGTCTATTTTTTGTGTGAATGGGACTGAAAACAAATGTTTCAGGATTAGAACACAGGCATTAATTAACTTACATGCTGTTTGGTTTTCTCTCTGCTAATGCTAGTTTGTATTTAATAAATTGTTAAGCGTTTTTAATTGAAATATAAAACAAGTATCTGGAAATTAATTATTCATGCAGTCTAGGATTAGTTATTCAAAAATCCAGTTAGGAACCATTGGAGTGCCTGTATGGGTGTCCTCACTGGTTTAATTTTACAGCGTTGTAAGTACAGAAATAGAAAGGCTGCTTTGGTTCAGCTGTCTGTTTCCATGTTGTAACACACTTTTTGTAATGTATTGGGATCATTTGGCTTCCAACAGCAATCATCGGGTTCCTCAACGTTATATATGGCTCGAGGCACTGGAAAATTGTCTTGCTGATCTCAGTTGACATGACGTTGACTAGGACTCCTTTATGACATACTAGCTGAAGAACTGCCTAAATGCCAAAAGCAGTCGCTATCAACTCCCCTCTGGAATTGGCCTCTTTTTATTATACATATTTTGACCAAGGCTATAAAGAGGCTTGGAGTGAATTCAAAAGAAAATATTACAAACACGCAACTTTTATTGGCCAGTGGGATGTACAGAAAGAGTATGAGATGAAGCAAATTTGAATTAGGATTTCTTGGTTTTTGTTGTTTTATTCTGCATGTGTCAGATTTCATAGCTGACCAAAAAAGGGAAACCAAAGCTTCACCAAATTAACTTTTGAAAAACAAATCAGGGTAGAGAATCTAAAACCCAATGGCATTGATGCTTTAAAGTGGCTCCAAGCAATTGATCATAGATTTGTGTCTTTACCACAAGTGACCTGATGAACAATGCTAATGGAGAAGATGTGTTTGTTTTGTAAGAAATGAATGAAATTGGAACAAAAGTTTTCTTCCACAGTTCTGTACCATCTGTAGCTGGCTGAAGATGATTGATGGATTGTTTGCCTGATCACTTGATTGTGGATTAGTGCTTGGTGAAAAAGATGAGAAGTGATTATGGTGCATTTTATAGCATTGTACTTTCTGTCAACTCTGGGTTTAAGTAACAGATTTGGCATCTATCGGAATATAAACTTTTTTCTTTGATATTACAATTTCTTTTTGGTCAAGGATGGATGTAGTAAAATGGCATCTATGAGGCTTTATAACACAGTAAATGTTTGCTTCAAGGGAAATGGTTGACTTATAGTTGCAGATACAGTTTCTAACGTCAGTTGGCAGCAGGTAGAAAAGGTAGTGTTTGAAAGTATGTGCTGAACAATTAAATTGTTAATATTTAAGTAATTAAATTTCAACAATTACTCATTCTCAGGATGTGGGTGTCTCTGGCTAGTCCAGCATTTATTGCCCGTCCTATTTGTCCTTGAGAAGATGGTGGTGAGCTGC